CTTTGCTGGAAATTATGTCTTAGTCAAAGACAAACTGAATAAAACTTTCTTTCTCTTAATTTCTAGTAAGGCATGAAAATGAAAAACTGATCAGCTCATTAGAAAGATCATAGTTAGAATATTGATATATGAATACCCAGGAAGTCTCTTCTTTGACAAAGTATTTGACCAGATAAAGTCCATATAAAACATCTTAATTATCTAATACAGTTTCTGTTTGAAAGAAAGTTTAATTTAATGTTTAGAAATATTCCCTCTTAAAAGAAAATGTTTCAGTTCTTTCAAAAAATTGTGACTTAGAGGATGACAAGTAAGAAAAAATAAGTTAGAAATTACATTTGAGACATATACAATCCACAGTTCAGAATAAAAAGTGTTCATAATAGCTGGGCATTTTTAATGATTATCACTGCTTTAAAAAGGTGCCATCAAAATCACCATGTGTCCACATAAGCCTATATGTTATCATTAGTCTATGTTTTTTTCATATTTCATTTATAAACCTATACTTCTTTAAAAATCATCTGCATATTTCTGTTGATTGACAGCATCATGTTTCTATAACATGCATTTGATAATTCATAGAATTGGGCCTCCCCTGGTGGTGTAGCAGTTGAGCACTGGGCTGCGAAGCTGCCCGCAGCCTCTGCAGCACCGGTTCGATCCCCGGCTGCCGGCAAGGGTCCCACATGGTGCGTGGACCTCTCCTGCCATGCCTGCTCCTCCCCTCAGCAGTGTATTTCATCAGTCTGCCTGTTCTGTTTCCCACTCTGGCTCTGGTGAATTCTCTCAACCTCCCACACTTCTGACTGTACCCAGTGCTTGTATAAATAAATAAATAAATACATCTTAAAAAAAAGTATCTACACATAATAATTCATTGATTTATAATTTAATTTTCTGTCATATAATCACATATAATGTGTGACTATGATTTAATTAGCAATACTGAAGGAAATCCTACTGCAAATAAAATACTATATTCTAATATATGTAGGTTAATCATGTTAATAATGAAAACAGTAATAGCTTATTATTAAGATCTACTTGATGTAACAATATAAAAGATGAAGTTACATAAATGTGTTATAGAAAGAAATAATGTTGAAATCACTATTGGTGATCCCAAAATACTATAGTAATCAGATATCTATCCGGTTAATATATTTATTGAATGAAAACCCTGAGTTCATAATGGTAAGGACTGATTTTCATACCCTGTGTCCTTGAAGACATCAATGCTAAGGCTTCAGTATTTTACAAAAATGGCTAGAATAAGCCAAGGAGGAGGTCATGATTAGAAGAACCCTATAGGGAAAAGTAAAGGATAAAATGCTGTTGAAAGCACTAAATGAAATGGCATTTAGTGACCTACCTCTACTACATGGTACTGCATGAGAATTTATATACTGCTTAAGCTATAGGTTTACAGAACAAATTAAGATATATTTGGAAAAAGAAATATAGCAATATTGAGAATAACTGCATGAGCATATTATGGTCTCTGTCTAGTTTCTCATAGTTTATCATTTTTTGCATTTGATACTGTAAAATATTACATTTTAAGAATAAAGAAATAGATTTCAAAGTAACATAAAAACACATTTTGTGTTCATTGAAACACTGGGACCTAAATGAAAGTAGCCATAACTTTTAAAATATGATAGAAAATAATAAAACAGAAAATATATGATACCCTTCTTTTGAACATTCCAATTTATATAGGAGATTTAATTACAAATTGTTTCAAAGTTTGTTTTTAAAATAAAGAGTAAATTTGTGGAAGTTTATGATTTGCAGAAAACATGTCAACAATTACTTTTTAATAATTTAGATTTATATTAGTTCTTTATAATATTTATAATTCTTGCTTTACAATATTTCTCTAAGCTGATATTCTCCAATATGGACTTTACAAAATCCAACATCCATTCAATTTGAACATCCATTCAATCCAGGAAAATAACATTTGAATTTATAGTATTTCTTATAAATCATCTTTTTAAAATTTAAAATTTTATACATTTTATAATACACATAATATTTTATTCATTATATACAGTGCATATATTTCTTCACTCATGTGCTTTGTATACACAGTCAGCAATGTTTCAAGACGATGATTGTTATGTTAATAAAGAAAGAAATTGAGTAACATGTATTAAAATGTGAAACTGATAATATTTAGGTAATTTATATTTTTAAGCAATCAGGGTCCATAGATTTGTAAAGACCGACAGGGACTGTTTTAGGTTGTAACTATAGTGGCTCTTCTTGCAGTCCCATTTTGCATTTGTATCCCCAAAGGAATCCACGGGCATTGAGGGCATGTTGAATAATCCTCGGCCCATATAAGTGTCCTATGCTCACCTAGAATTACAATTTTGCTGGCAAAATCATCTATCAGGTCTTGAGTGATGTCTTACTCATTTTCTTCCCAATAGCCATTGTATTGATATATATGGTTCAAGATGAGCCAACCCTGAGTCATTTGCACTCCCTTGGAAGATTATCGCTGACCCATTGCTACCTAATGGAAGACACAATGTCGTGCCATGTGTGCCGGAGAGTTGGAGGCCAAGGCCCTCAAAATAATTTTTGCTTGAGTAAAGCCAGGGCAGTTGTTAGAGCACAGAATCTGGAGTCCAATAGTCTGGGTTTACTTCCTAATGTCTACTCCTATCTGCTTCTGTTCAGTCTATAAGAACAGTTCACCAAGTTGTCAGGAGAGTCAAAAGAACTAATATTTTTGGGCACACAGTACATTTTCTATGAGTGGTTATTAACAAATAAATAAAATATGTGGCCACACCAGCTAAGCAATGCTGCCCTGAATCAGGAGAGTGCCTTGAAATATGTTTATCTATCTTTTTGGCAAGCCTTTAGCGTCTCCCAACATTTCCCACTCAATGTTTATATTTATGCAAACAATGCTGTGTTTTAAATGTCTCTATCAGTCCTGTCTATTACAAGTAAATGTAGTTATAAACCATAAATCCACATATGTCTAAGTTCTCTAGGGTGACTCCATTACTTCAAGCCCCTGGCCCATAACTCAGGGCCTGGGCCACTTCCTCCCCTCCTGGCACTTCTCCATGACATCTACTACCATGTACAGGCTTGGCCCTAGGGACACATTCCTGTGCTTCTGTCCTCTAATTACATCTGTCCTGTCCACTCTTATGCTTCCGTATCTTTACTCAGCTTTCACCTCTTTGAATAAAATAAATTTGTGTTCTCTTACAATTGTTTTTATCAATTTATGTTTTTCAAGACTGTTATACATATTTCTATCTAAGGATTCTCCTTTAACACCCCCTTTCTTCATGAATATTTAAATCCTCTCTCCATGTTGCTCCCATAAAAATTAATAAGATATCATACTGCATCTTATTCATTCATATATATATATTTATAAACAGGAATAATCTAAGGTCATAAACTACTGTCTAATTCATGTCTGATTCTATGCTGATATTGTACAAGATTTGCAAAATAGATGAATGTGTGGAATTTTAAATATATATTCATATATGCAAACTAAATTTTTATAAGGGAATATATGTAACATCTATAACCTCTGAATAATGTACTTTACACTTGAATATTTTGTTGGTTTGTTAGATCTGTGTTGACTGTTTTCTTTAAAGAGCTATTAATTGATAATATATAAAGGTGTGTGTATGCGGGTGTGTGTGTGTGAGTTTATGTATATAATGAAAATATTTAATTTTAAGAAAAAGCCATTTCATTGCTTTCTTTAACTATTGTCTTCTTAGGAATTGCAAGTTTGTTGTCTTTTACATTTCCAGATAGCTCTCAAATAATTTGGGAACATTATTTTTTGCATGTTATATATGAGTAGATGAAACTATGATCACATCAGAAGTGTGACGTGATAAGTCCCTTAACTGTGTTTTAGTCCCTCAAACTTTCCCTAGGTGAATTATTATCTCACTTTGATGTGCAACAATAATGTATTTATGGGCTTTCTGGGAAAAAGCCTCTCTTTCATCCTCAAGCTGAGAGAATTATTTGTGATTGCCAGTTTTTCCAGTACACTTCTTGGGAAAAAGTTGGCACAGAATGTACTGTACATTGAAAAGTCAGAAATGTGTTCAATTATGCTCATTTGCTTTGATCTTATTTTATACCCTTTACTTCCTCACAATACCCTACAGAGTCCTGATTTTGGCTCCCTGTCAAGATTTCATTGTAAGCATGAGAGACTTTTCCATGTGAAAAAAGTAGAAATTATGTTCTATATTAAGGAAAATATAATTTGCTTTTGATGAAATGTTTTTGTCCTGCAGACAGAACCACTTGAGTTATGTTCTATAATAGGTTAATCAACAAAATATAGTGTGTTCCTGCTGTGCAACAGTCCCACAGATGAGGAAGGAACACTGTCCTCACTCCAGAAAAGCTATTTTTTCCCTAAAATATATCATAATACACAATAATTACAGGCTAATAATGGTATGTATTAACATGTGAGATAAAGCAGTTTACACAAATAACGACCTTTGAAGCTGTAATATTAAAAATAGTCTAATCTACATTATGGAATATCATCTTAAAGAAATAACCACTAGCAATCCACACAGAAAGTATATTTCAGGTGAAAGCCTATTACTATTTGCTTGGGATATTTCACTCAGTATCAGCTAAGGATAAATACATATTTATATTTATTTGTCCATTTATCCAAATTAGGAAGGACTTAATAATGATGAAATGAAAATATATTTGCTGAAATAGTCACTTCCTACTTCCTGTTGACATTTAGTGCAAAAAAACAACTAGAGTTTATACTCTTTCTCAAGGGAATTTTCTTTTGTATTTCTGACAAATAAGAATGTTAAGTGCACTTGTAGAGGGATATTACTATTTTTCTCAGTGACACTGAGAATAAACTGACACTGAGAATAAACTCAGTGACACTGAGAATAAACACTGACGTGCTTCAAGGAGTGACAAAGTCATGGACACTTCCAGTGATGACGAAGGTGCTGATTAAAAGTTATGTAGTTAAAATTTCCAAAAATGTGTCAAGCTAAAACTGAGGATTATGAATCAAAAATCTTGGGTCTTAAATCACCTCTATTTTAAACTATGCTAATTTAAGTAGTAAATTCCACTTCCCGGTTCTATCATTTGTATAAATCGTATGTGTGTGTGTGTGTATGTGTGTGTGCGCTCACGCGTGCGCATGTGCGCACCTTGTTAACTTGGAATGAAGGATTAATGAAGGCTAGAGATGATGGAAAGTTGATGTGTCTTCAGATTTAATATCTGTGATAGAGACAGAAAAGAGTGAGGTTGTTTTTTTTTTTTTTATTTTAGAGTGACAGGAATGATGTGAAATTTATTATAGTGATGGCTGAGCAAATGTGAATGAATGCACTATAAATCACTGAAGTGTATGCTTTAAATGGTTGAATTGCATATAATATGATTTTTTCTCAATAAAGCTATTACAAAAATTATATTATAAATTTTAAATGAAATATTATTTTTCAAATATATTTTATAAGCTAGAATCCCTAGTCTCCAAATTTCTCTGTGAATTTTCTAGCATAATCTCCCATTATCTGAGGTCTACTCTATGTGAAATGGTTATGGTTTTCACTGCACCTTTATTACATATTAAATTCAGACTCATGAAAGTACATTTCCTTAGTTCTCAAATATTATTCATGATATTTTACTGCAATTAGGCTATAACGTTTTAATCTATAAACTCAGTGTATTTTTGTTTTCTGTCTTGCTCTTTTCTTTTTGTCTGAAGACAAAGACAGGGATTTGTTTGCTGCAGGATGGTAATCAGGAGCCTTTCAAAGTCCGACTACACCTAGCCAAAGATATTTTGATGATCCAGGAACAGGATGTGATATGTGTGTCTGGTGAGCCTTTCTATTCTGGTGTAAGTAAATTTCCTTCTGTTGAATTTCTTTTCTTTTCTTTTTTCTTTCTTTCTTTTTTTTTTTTTTTTTTTTTTTTTTTTAGTTAATCAAATTGTTTACTCACAGAAAAGTATTAACATAGTTTTCTTTTACTTTCAGAATCTAATCAATTGTTCTTCATGTAGTTTTTGTTTGCATTTTAAGTAAGCAATCCTTGCATAAGCACCTATCCTGGGTCCACAGCCATATTTTATTTAGTGCCTTTCCCACCTGTGAGTCTCCTTGATTTCCAGTCATGACAGTGTGTGACTGGAGGGACACTTGTGGTTTCTGATCTTAAGGGTTTATATTCAAGTTTTGCACACAGAGAACTAAATGAAACAAGTGTATAGTAATTTCCCTGCTCTGGTCTTGTATTTCATTGAACTTTTGGAGGTGTTGCAAAAGTGAAGCTCCTCTCTCAGCATTTGGGAAGCAAGAAACTTTAGGTAGTAGTCATTGAACGCAATACCAATACTATGCACAGGGAATCATGTATGGATAATTCTGTGGAGCTACCTGAGAAAATTATGCTGTTTTTTTGTAAATTGCATCCAATGCTCTAACTGGTTGACATATTACACTGTGATTGTTAATCCAGATTTAGAGTAATAAATTATAACTCAAAATTTATTGTTTTGCACACTAAAGTGCAACTGTAAAGATGTCCTTAAGTAAAATTGGATTATATTGGATTAAAAATTATCATAAAACAGGACAAGTTTTAGGGTTTATCATTTGTTGTGATATAAAATTAAATTCATCACCTTAACAGTGTCCCCATATGTGATCTCAGTAGAAAATTACAAGTTTTAAAATAGTTCCTGGATTTCCCAGTCATCTGTATCTATTAAGTATGAAAATTTAATTTTTAGTTTATTCATAAACTTACCTGGAGTGTTTTGTTGGTGGTGACTAATGCTATGGGTGGGTTTTCACCTCACTTCTCATTAACATATGATGGGTGGGAGTCACAACAGGCCCTAAATAAACAGGCTCTCTCTAAATAAAGAGATTGGATATTTTGAGGACGGTTAGCTATTCTTTTGTCATAGATCATTTATACTCTGATTCATGGGTCTGTCTTGGTTATTAAAATGTTACCCCAGGATTTCCCTTTCTTCCTTTAAATTAATAAAATAATAGTCCCTTCCTCCCTTCCTCACTACCATCAGATAAGCACCTAATGAACATTTCTCACTAACACTGTAGTTATCTTGCTTTATATTATTCAATATTATTTTGGCTATACACTATAAAAAATGAAAAGGGAGAGGTAAAACAGCATTGTTAGTAAATGTCATCTGAATGACAGAGAAAAGCTCAAGAAATCTGCAAGAAAAAAATTAGAACAACATGCATATTTAAGCAAGGTTATTGTAAATAATGATAATGTCCAAAGTAAATATATTTCTATTATTTACAATAAGCAAAACTAATATGTAATTCACAATACATTTAGAAATAAATAATATACAGGAATAAATTTTTAAAAATTTGTATATACCTTGTATCTTAAAAACTATAAAATGGAGATGAAGAGAAAGAAAACAAATTGACAAATAAGTGGAAAGATATTGAGAATCATTTTAATTATAAATTAAAAGTTATATACTGGTACTTATTTGCATCTTTCCAAATATAAAATAACAATCAAACCCCAAAATATTTTTTTAAAGATTATTTATTTATACAAGCACTGGGTACAGTCAGAAGTGCAGGAGGGTGAGAGGATTCACCAAAGCCAGAGCGGGGAGCAGAGCAGGCAGAAGGACCGAGGTACACTGCTGAGGGGAGCAGCGGGCGGCAGGAGAGGTCTGCGCGCCATGTGGGACCCTCCTCCCATGGCTGGGGAGCAGCTGGAGATCCAACCAGCGCTGCAGAGGCTGTGGGCAGCTTCGCAACCCAGAGCTCAACTGCTGTGCCACCAGGGAGGCCCTAAACCCCAAAATATTTTTACAGATGTTTACAAGCTGATTCTAAAAATTTCATGGAAATGTGAAGTACTTAGCATAGTCAAAACAATCTTGAATTAGAACAAATTTGGAATGTTTGCACTTCCTGATTTCAGAACAAACTATAAAATTATAATAACACATTGTGATATTATCATATATATAGGATGTGTATCAGTTGACCATTATAAATAATACAGCAATACACCCAAACTTATAATTGAACACTTATGTGGTCAATTCCTTTTTAAATTGTGGTAAACTATACATAAATAAAATTCACCTTTTTAACAAATTTAAGTGTACAGATTAGTGACATTGAATACATTTATATTACTTTGCAATATCCATCTCCAGAATTTTCATCATCCCATATTGTACAAATGAAACAATAACTCCAGCTTCACATTCCCCAGTAGCAACTATTGTACTTTCTGTCTCTCTTTAGTAAATATTCTGGCCAAATAATACTATGTGGAAGGATGCAATATTTTCACTTCTTTGTCTAACTTATTTCACTTAACATGATGACTTCAATGATCATCTATATTGTAGCATACAATACAATTTTGCTTCTTTACAATAATAAATAATAACCTATTGCATGTATACATTTTGTTTACTTTGAACATTTGGGTTTCTTCCATCTTTTGGCCTTAATAACATTGCTGTGAACATGGAAGTATAAATATCTAAGTCAATAATAATTTTATGTATGTTCCAAGAAGTGAAATTGCTGGATAAAATGGTAATTAATACCAGGCTACTTTTCGGTTTAATCCTTTATCAGCTATTTGATTTATAAATATTTCTCCCACTCTGTGGACTGCCTTTTTACTTTGATGACTGTTTCCTGTAAAAGAAAGTTTTTAATTTTGATGAAGCCATGATTGTCTTTCTATAGGTGGCCGTACTTTTACTATTTTATCCAAGAAAGTATCACCAAGTCCAAGATCATGAATATTTTCCCAGTTTTTTCTCATATCTATGAATTTGATAAATTTTGAATTAATTTTTGCATTTGTAAGGGTCAATTTTATTCTTTTGGGATATATATTCAGTTTTCCTAATAGTGTGGGTCTTGGCACCCTTGTTGAAAATTATTTGACTACACATGGTCATCCTATTCTGTTCCATTGCTTTATATGTCTATCTTTATGTCAGTCAGTACACTGGTTTGATTACTGTAGATTTGTGGTAAATTTTGAAATCGTGAAGTATGTTTTGTTCAGTTTTGTCTTTTTTAAGACAATTTTGGGTACTTGGAGTTCTATGAGATTCCATATAAATTTTAGGACTTATTTTCCCATTTCTGTAGAAATTACATTGAAATTTTGATGGTGATATTGAATTGGTAGCTCATTTTAGATACTATTGACATCTTATCAGCATTAAGCCTTCTAATCTTTGAAAATGATATATTTTCATTTATCTATTTTTTAACCTGTTTAACAATGTTTATAGCTTTTATTGTATAAATCTTTGAGTTCCTTGATTTTTAATTACAAAATATTTCATTGTTGTGGATGCTACTGTACATGGGATTATTCTCTTAGTTTTCAGAGTGTTCCTTGTACACATAGAAATGCAACTGATTTTGATGTGTCTGCCTTGTATCTTACTACTATGCAGAGGAATTTGGATAATTTCCCACCCCCCCGATTTCTTGCCTGATTTACCTAACTAGAATTTGTGGTACTCTGTCTAATAGATGTGGTAAAAGTAGGCATCCTTGCCTTGATCTTAGAATAAAACTTTCTGTCCTTTACCTTTATAATCTTATCTGTGGATTTTGTATACACAGTATTATATTGAGGTAGTTTCCTATTATTCCTAGTTTGCTGAGTGTTGGGAGAGTACTAACTTGTCATGAAAGTGTGCTTAACTTGTCAAAAGTTTTTTCTCCTTCAACTGAAATGATTGTCTACTGTGCATTCCTTCATTCTGTTACTGTGGAACATTTCATTGATTGAGTGACATATGTTGGAACATATTTGCATTCTAGAAATACATCCCACATAATTAGGGTGTATAATTACTTTAATATGCTGCTGAATTTACTTTGTGGGTATTTCATTGAGGACATTTTTGACAATGATCACAAAGGTTATTAGTTCTGTAGTTTTCTTTTTTTTTTTTTTAAGATTTATTTGTTTCTTTATACAAGCACTGGGTACAGTCAGAAGCGGAGGAGGGTGAGAGAATTCAACAGAGCCAGAGTGGGGAACAGAACAGGCAGACTGACAAAATGCAGTGCCGAGGGGAGCAGTAGGTGGCAGGAGAGGTCTGCGCGCCATGCGGGACCCTCGCTGATAGCCAGGGATTGAACTGGTGCTGCAGAGGCTGTAGGCAGCTTTGCAGCCCAGTGCTCAACCACTGCGCCACCAGGGAGGCCCAATTCTGTAGCTTTCTTTTCTTATAATGTCTTTTTCTAGTATCATGTGACTGCTGGCTTCAAAACATTGAGTTAGGAGGTTTTTCAACCTCTTCAATATTGTGGAAGAATTGAGAAAAATTGATATTAATTCATCCTTAAATATTTGCTTGAAATCACCAGTGAAACTATCAGATTCAGGGCTTTTATTTTTTAGAATATGTTTAACTACTGGTTCAGCCTGCTTACTAGTATTAAGTATACTCACATTTTCTATTTTTTATTGATGCGGTCTTTGTAGACTTTGCATTTCTAAGAAACCACCAATTTAATCCAAGCTATCCAAGGTATCAATTTATTTCCAAAAATTGATGGTGATATACTCATTTTTATTTCTGATATTATAAATTAGAATCTTCAGTCTTACTTAGCCAATCTAGACAAACACTTATATTCTTAATAATCTTTTCTAAGAACTAACTTTTAATTTCATTTATTTTTCTTCCTGTTGCTTTTCCATTTACTATTTTCTCAGTTTCTGGTCTAACTATGATGTTATCTCACCTTCTGCTAGCTTTGGGCTTAGTTTGTTTTTCTTTTTCTATTTCCTTAAGTAGTAAAATTGCGTTGTTTATATGAGGTTTACCTTTTT